TATTTTATAATTTATATTTTATATTTTATATTTTATATCTTATATTTTATATTTTATAATTTATATTTTATAATTTATATTTTATATTTTATATTTTATATTATTATTCAGTAATGAGAAAAATAAAAATTTATTGAGCCCAATGTATGTTCTATACCTTTGATTTATAGAACATTTGAAATACATTCATAAATATTATAAATAGGTAATGTGGCTTTTGTTTATATCTACTTCAATTTATAAAGTGAAAAAAAAAAAAAAAATTTTTAGTAGCTTAGAGTTTTTCTTATAAGTATACAACTTTATATAATATATCTCTCTGCTCGATCTACAATAAATGCCAATGCTTATGCCAATAATTTTATAATGGGTATCACCTAGTTAATTATTCCTTAATCTCCATCTGCTTTTCTTTGCTTCAGTTAAGCTAAAATCAAGTACAAAAGCCAATAAAAAGAGGAAGTCATTAAATTGGCAAAAATGCTGCTGCGTATTGACATTATTTGGCTAACGGTCATAAAATGTACCACATGCCACTCGCCACACGCCACATGCCACACGCCACACACCACATGCCAGTTGCAGTGTTTGACAGCAGCCCTGGCGGTCCTGGCTGGCAACGTTGCGTATGTGTGTTATTCGAGCGGGTCCTTGTGCGTGGCCAGGCGAAACTTTTAATGGGCAACAGAGCTGAATAATGCTTGAAAAGTTTCACGTTGACTGCCTAAAGTAGCCTAATTATAGCCATGTGTGGCAGCCAAACAGTGAACGACACTGAGATACCCTGTACTATGCTCTAGACATATCTAAAAGCTAGTTAGTATTTAGTTTGATTAATTTCACGTATTTTCTATTAAATTTCTCTTTCAAATACTCTTCTAGCATTTTCCCCGGACATTGGCTTACACATACCCTGTAAATTGACCGCACTAACAGAACTGGCTAAGAGCGAACGAAGCTTCCTTTGTGATACGCAAAGAGACACAGAGAACTAACTGCCTTTGAATTGTAAATTTTATTTTATTTTACCTTTCTTTTGTGTTAATAATATTGCACATTTGTCGTGTATATAAACTTTATTGTTGTTATTTGTTTTAATGTATTATTCTTGTTTAATTATAAACGCAAAGCAAACACAAAATATGCGCGTTTCATTTTGATAGATTTATATTGCATACTTTTGGGGATGGGCAAAAATCACGTATTGGGTGGCTTATGATATCCTTATGCCTTCTGTTGTGGACCTTGGCATTCATTTTGCGAGCAAGACTTTCATTAATCTCTGTTCCATTTGACTTACAGCAAAATCCTTAATAATCCAACAACCACTAGGAGAGCTTTAATCGATGGACATTAAAGTCTTTCGTGATCTCCCATTCCTATGCCAGAAACACATAGTATGGCATATTTGGCTTGGAAGTTTCCTCCAGCAAATATATATATATATATCTCTGTCCGCCTAATACTTCAGTCGAGCTATCGTTCCAAGTTTTGAGGGTAATCTGAACTAGAAGGCAGCCCAACAGTCCAGCATGCAACACTCACCCGTTGATTTACCTGCAGCAACAAAATAAATAAACCAACATATATATGTTAACTTAACCCGTACATACATATATAGATATATCTATTTATACATTACATATATACACATGCAGATTTCCACACACCTTTCCCGTCTGTGGAACTTCTCGAACTCAGCTCCCATGCACACAACTTGCATAAATAACGTTTCCATTAGGCTTTCGAGCAGGTTCGCTTAATTATTTACACTGGCGTCGTAAATATTCGAGCAGGTGTCACAAAACTAAAAAGTTGCGGCCAATTGTCATCGAATTGAATATTTATAATGCACCGCTGCTGCTCAGCGCCAGTTGTAAATAATTCCCCAAATGCCAGTTGGCCCCCACCGGGGGGAGCGTTTAATGTGCGGGCAGCAAGAGTGCAAATAATAATTACTATAAGTATGTGAGCGCTAGAGCACGCCCCCACACACACACACAGACACACACACACCCAAACCGTTCGTTGCCCACTCCTTGCATTAAATTAATTAAAATGTGAAGTAGCCAAAAAAAGTAAATGAGAAATTTGTTGTCCCTGGCGCAACTGACTGCTGGATGCTCGCTCATGGGCTGAATATGAGAAGTTAATATTAATTTAAACTTAAAATAAATATTATATAATACATTATATATATAAATTTGTATATATTATTATTATTATATATTATATACAGCTAGAGAAAATCCAAGCTAAACTACAGCGAAAGCTTTTCAGAGTTACATAGACGTAAAGCTATAAATAACTGCTCAGATTGCCACGCCCCAAATTGTTAGCCTTCATATTAATATTTTCAACTCTCCGTATATAATTCTCATTGCCCAATATTTATATAGTGAATTCCATTATTCTCGCTTTTTCATATGCTGCAAACTAATATACTCCTTTTACTTATTGAGCCTGCAGCAGCAGAGCTCTTTGTTGCTGCTGCTGTTTGTTTTTTTGTTTGTTTGTGGAAGCGCTTAAATATAATTAAACGTTGTTTTGGCTCTTGCTTATGTAGAAAATCTGGCGCTAACATTGCTCCAGTCCTCTGCTTGGCCTTGAGGGCAGCAGAAATACATACATAGATATAAGTATATATACATATATCTATAAATATAAATTTTCTGCTATATTTGTGTGTTGAATATGCAAAATTCCGGGTTTGATTTCTCACAAAAATTCATTCATAACAACTATTGCCAGCGGGCTCTTAAATGCGAGTGTGGCGGCTGAGCTGAAGCTTTTTCCTTGTTGAGTGCGTAAAGCTAGCTACGCAACACCCATACACACACACACACACACACTCACACACACATGCATATATATAACTATATCAGCGCCTTCATTTGCATTTCATGAGCGCCCTCTCCAATTTGTGACGCAGCAGCAGCAGCAGCAGCGGCAGCAGCGCAGCATACAGCATTAATAATGCAACGGCCAACGCCGCAATAATATCACCAACACGAACACACTCGCACACTCACACATTCACACAGAGTTACAATCGCGCCTTGCTCTTCCAGTCAATGCCAAACAATAAACACACTCACACCCACACACACACACACACACTCACACAGACAGCGCCTAGCCAGTCAGCATTGCTGTATGTGCTTTCGCTGCTCGCCTATAGATGGCGCTCGCAACTGGCAAGCGCTGAGCTTGTTCACACACCTCGCTGTGGCAGTCTTTTAGGAGCACTGCTGTCGTGCAGTTCGTGGCGCATCGCGTGGCGCCTCGCGACAACAAATCTATTTTTTTTTTTGCTGGCTGACTTTGCCCTGCTCAAGTTATGCAAAATTTAATTGTCTCTATTTGTCTGAGGACGGGCTATTCGTCGGTAGTGCGGGCAGAACATGTGCTTGATCAACACATGCTTCGTTATTCACTGCGCGCCTGATGGAATTGCAGCCCAAGTTGCACAAGAAGCAGCAGCAGCAGCAGCAGAGGCATGCAACATTCGCGCTGTGCCACAAGTTAAACAAAATCTTTCCAATTGCAGGTAAAGCAAATAGTTGCAGCTGTGCCGCTTTAGCCGACTGTGCAATGCCCTAAATTGTGTGGGTGGGTGTGGAAAGTGGGCTGAGTATTAAAGTGTGGTGCCTCTTAAACTGTGATTTTCAATGTGCATCTGAAGCTGACGAGGGAACTGGGAAGAGAATGTATCGAGTGTACAGATAGTTGAACTAAATAGATATAAAAATATTTAAGATAATTAAAGTTAGTATAAATAAAATTATGTTTTTGTTTGTTTGCTCTGAAATTGGGTACGACAGCTGTGAATTTATTAAATAGTTAAACTAAATAGATATACAAATATTTACGAAAGTTAGTATAAACAGAAAATTGTCTCTTTTTTCGCTCTAAGATTATAAAAGACAGCTAAGGCAGCTTGTTATGACTAAAGTGTCAAAATTATCGGTAAATGACTCTATATATGTGTCATAACTTATACATGTGTTCATTAAAGTGAGACTTTGATTGTGCCTCTCAAACTTATGAGAAACCTTTGCAAATAGATTCTTAAAATATAATCAGATATACATATATTTGGCTCCCAAATTGTTAATACTATTTCTTTATTGTTATCAACAATAATTCTAAATAACAATTTTTTGTTAAGCCAGAGCGAGTAAGACCTTCAGGCCTAAAAGTAAGTTATAGAATCATCTTTTTTGTATAAGCTGATATGGCCACTTAACGTTTGCTTGCAGTGTATGAAACAATTGTGCGTGCTTAATAAATTCCAAATTTGATATATGGCTCCCAACTTTATCGTTAAACCCAAATATTCCTGTAGCTCAAAGTTTCACTGCAGCTCAGCGCATATACTCTATACAAATTTGTTTGAGTAGAGTATTCCATTTGCGAATCCCTAAAAAATGACTAGAGTACAGAGTCTTTGCTGTGTTTCCTGTGTGTGTGTGTGTGTGTGTGTCTGCCCAGTTTTGTGTTAAATTATAGATAGCTAATGTATCCTGTGTCTAGGTGATTGCAGTCTTTCTCATTTTACAGCTAGATAGATAGAATTTTGTTAAGCTGAAGGTCCAAGTGCTGCATTTTGTTGTAAATTATATTAATTCTATTCTCTTATAAATAAGTACACATACATATATAATAAAAAGAAACGAATTTCAATGTCTGCCTCGACAAATATGAATTCTTTACTTGAATTTAAATATATATATTTAATATAATATACTACGCTGTAGCTAATTGACTTTAGTATATTCGACATACTTCAGCTCTTCTGCATATATTATTTAGAATGCATATAATAAATAGAAGAAACTTTGCAATAATTCCCTCATGACTACTTCCTCTTGATCTACTGCCTAACTAATATACCCATTTCAAATCTGTTGCAACTTATTCAAGTATTTCGCCTGGGTCACAATGTTGCGATTCGGCGACTGTGATATAAGCCAGCTGCGGTTACTCGGCAAAGGCAAAAGAACTCTGACCACCTACACTCTCTCTCTTACTCTCTCTCTCTCTCTCTCTCTCTCTCTCTCTCTCTCTCCTTCTCTAATGGCATCCAAATGATGTCATGCGGCAGCTGTATGGCGTTTAGTCGTACATAATTCGTGCGCCGAAACGCAACGCATTCAAAATTTTGTTGTTAAATCGATTCTTGAGTTGCTACGCACAAGAGCTTAACTCACCTACTCTCTCTCGCTCTCACTCTCTCTCTGTCTCCCCCACAGCTCGCATTCACTATTTGGAGCGTGAGGAGCAGCGTCCGAGCAGCAGCAGCAGCCGCTTGGGCAACGAGGGCAGCATCGATGCCAGCGTGGCCAGCGCCTCGCCGCCGAGTGGAGTTGGAGTCTCGCCACAGGGTTCGCCTCAGCTGCAGCAGCGCCTGGGCAAGCATCTGAGCAAGTCCGCCTCGGAGTTGAACGGACACGATTGCCATCACAGCAACGAGTCGCCGCATTTGTCGCCGAAACGCGCCAAGAGCGCCGCCTCCCCCCAGCAGCTCGTCGGCGGCGGCAGCAGCAGCGGCGTCGGGGGCGTGGCCAGCGGCGTGAGCGTGCTGCAAAAGACGCACGGCTTCTTCAACAACCTGAAGCATCGCTGGAGTCGAGCGAAGAGCAAAGATCGCATCGGTCGCAAGTCGCCCAGCGACTTCCTCGAGGAGAGCACGGACTATGCCGCCGACTACAGCTCGGAGAGCAGCTCCGTGACCCAGAGTCCACGACATCGAGCCACCACCATTGGTGGTTCGCCGTTGGCGCGCGACTTTCGTGCCACCGCCAAGATGGCGCAGGTGATTCAACGCTTCGGCGGCTCCATGGAGGGCCGCATAGACGAGCAGCCCGAGAACGGGAACGCCCACAGCGCGACGACAACGGAGCAGCAGCAGCAGCAGCAACTCGAGGCGCTGCAGGTGAGTCTCACAGCAACGGCTTTTTCTTATAATTTGATATTTGTTTTCGTTTTGTTTTCTCTTTTGATTTGCAAATATTTCAATTGGATTTTTGTTTTTCTATTTCCACTAAAAACACGGCATACATTGTCGCAATTCATTCGCTGCTTTTTTCTGCAAAACTTGACGCACGCATAACGGCACAAACTGCCGTCGATCGATAAACGATAACAATCGCAAAATTGCCCATCACTAACGACCGCAACTGCAGGCCGACGAGCTGCGCCGCAAGCGGGAGACACAATTACGACAATTCGTCTTCTTTCAGCTGCGCGTCCACCTCAAATCCGGCTGCGACCTGGTGGCCATGGACAAGAACGGTAAGCCACGACCCACTCAGCCCTCTAGCCAAAGCAAAGGACTCGACAAACACCAACACCAACACACACACACATAGACACCCACAAACGAAGTCCAGCTGAGCTACACTCCAGCACGTCCTGTCTGTCAGTCACTTATGTTTCCTTTGTGTTCTCATGCGCGCGCCAGGACTGAGTGATCCTTATGTGAAATTCAAGGTGGGCGGACGGCTGCTGCACAAGTCGCGCACCATCCACCGCGACCTCAATCCCGTGTGGGACGAGGTGTTCATAGTGCCCGTGGAGGACCCATTTCAGCCGATTATTGTGAAGGTAAGCCGAGCTGCTCTAACCAAGTGAAGGACCTTAACTGAGCCACAGTTGCATAAAGCATGAGCTTTAAGTAACAGGATTGAGAGTGCATTATAAAAACAAAGTGTAGCTAGTTGGGTAGGCTTAAAACTTTCAGTGTAAAAAAGTGAAAAGGGTATTCAGATAGGATTTAAATTTCTTGAAACTTTCAGCGTATAAAAGTGAAAAGGGTATTCAGATAGGATTTAAATTTCGTACTCACATCTTTAATATCATTGTCATCTTGTTCAAATGGATCTTAAATTATCCTAGTTAAAATGCGATAATAAGAGGTAGGACAAAATAATGTACCTAAAGATTTGTGTTTGATGAAGGGATAGAAAATATGTTGTCCATTTAAATAAACTGTATTAAAGTAAATTCAAGTATAATTGAATACAAAAATTATTAAATAAGGAATATAGAATTATCTATGTGGCTAGGTTTACTTGACAGATTAGCCAATACTTGAAAGTGATTACTAAAAGAGTTAACAAAACTCGTGAGAATTTATAAGTTGATAAACTACAAACCTATAAAACTAAAAAATAAATAAGGAACATAAATTGACAAAGTATAAAACTAACTAGAGCTCCAAGCCTCTAGCGAAACCAGCTGGCAGGCATTCCAATGCACTGCTAACCAAACAGCAATGGCAACAGCAATAAATCACAGCCCAATTTCCCAGTAGCATCAACAACAACAACAAACACCAAGCAGCAAACAGCAAACAACAAACTAGGAAAATAATTGCCAGCATGACGTTCAATTTGGCGAATTGAATCGCATTTGATGCTCAGAGCAAAATCAGTTAACTGAAAATCAATCAAACGATTCCCCCCACAGGTCTTCGACTATGACTGGGGACTGCAGGATGATTTTATGGGCTCGGCGAAAATCGATCTCACTCAACTGGAGCTGGGCAAGGCGGAAGATATCAATCTGCAGCTGAGCGACACAACCAACGGCGAGCCGGGCCTCAGCATGGGCGAGATACTCATCAATTTGACGCTCTGGCCGCGCAGCCAGGAGGACAAGGAAATGGTAGGTGGCTGTCACAATGAATGCAATCGACAATTTGTACAGCGGCAAGCAATTTGGCAAAGCCAACAAGTCCCAAGGTGAAAGTCAAGCATGAGATACAATGTATCTGAAAGATAGAGATATCACTGTAGCGATTGACAGGCTTCGATTTGATTGAGCTATTGATATGGCTTCTCTCCCCGTTCCCTCGTTAGCTAGGACTGACATGCCTCTCATCTACTCCTCCATTAATCCTAATGCTGTTTATACACATACAGACACAGATACAGATACATATATCTATTCTTGGCTAGTTAAGGTTCAATTTTATTAACTCTCCACAGTTCCCTTTCTCCAGTCATTCAATTTCGATAATCGAAACGAAAGTCTCACACATATAGCTCATACACGGCTCTGTTTACAGCTACTGCTTGTAGCCCATCCATCAACATTTAGCCCACTTCCGGCCTTTCTCTTTGCGCCCATTCACTATTTACATAATCGTCACTTACCTTATTGTTCTGTCATTCTGTGGCAATCGAAACTCTCGCTCAGATAGCGTGCAGATTTATTACTCAAACTCTGAACTCTTGCCAAATTGCTCAATTAGCAACCTCAGAGCTCGCTGGATAAGCGACTTAAACCACTCAAAGCTCTCGTGTGGCTCTATTTACATGTGGGTGCTATGTGCTCAGCCACGACCTTCCACACCCTCTCACACATTGACTTTGTGCTTTGTTTCGCCTGCTTTGATCGCTGCCATTCGACGACTCATTACAAGTAGACGTAAACCGCTCAACTTGAGCAACAAACAGCAACAACAACAACAACAACAACAACAAAATCAACAACTAGCAATGACACAGGGAAAATACCACGAAATGTTAAATGTGAACAGCCATAAAGCTGGGTGTTGGGGCTAGTCTCATGATGTAAACAATTGTATACTCTAACATTCATGTGAGTGAATATGTGGATGTGTTTACCTTTCTATGCGATTCTCAATCATGACTTTCTAGTGAGTAAATAGCAGAAGAAGTATTCTTTCGACGTGCCTTCAATCTTGCATCCTTTTCTCTTGTTGTCTCTCTCTCTGTATATCTCACTACATTGTCATTTTTGCCACTTTTCTCTTTTGTTTCTCTGTCTCTTGCCACCTTTTCTCTTGTTGTCTCTCTCTCTGTATATATATATATTCTCACTACTTTGCCATTTTTACATATTTTCGCCACTCTTCTCTTTTGTTGCTCTATCTCTATATATTCTGTTTATTCTTCCTCGCTCTGCCTTCCTTGCTCTCTCTTCATTGACTCTACCCATCTCTCTCCCTCCCATTCTATCCCTCTTAGTACTTTTCTGATTAGCCTCATTTCATTGTTCAGACTCCTCTTAGCCCCACTTAAATAAGTTTCGACCATCCATACAAATTACCTTTAGCATCCATTATATGTCCATTTTTCTTTTCTTCTTTACTCAGCCAAAGGTTAGCTAACCCATTGGGCATACAAGTTCTTAAAGTTTGCGCTCGAAATTAATTATAGATACTGCTCGTGCAATCCACACTCGTAGTGCCGCTCAGTTAGGGGGGCAATTAGATTCATGGCACAAAGGTCGCTCGACAGCAATTAAAGACAGTAGCTGCTTATCAGCGACTCAGTCGGGCAGGCGAGCTGATAGGGTGTGTGCAGGGTGTTTGCCTCAGTGTGTATGCCCGCCACAAGGTTATCGCAGACTCGGGTGCCGAGAGAGCGTATAGCTAAAGCCAATTGTTGCTTTAGTCATTGCCCGTTGCTTCGCTTGCGAAGTGGCACTGTGATTTGAGTTGTGCTTGGATTATGGATTGGCCTGGTCCCATTTACCGGGTTGCGCCGCGCATGTTGCTCAAGCGGCTGCGGCAGCAGCACAGCGAATTCCGCGAGCAGCTGGAGCTGGGCTGCGAGGAGCTAAAGGAGGTCAACTTGAGGCTTAACTCTGTTTGTAATTTTGTGTCTCAATTCAGATTTGTTTTCCATGTCGACTTACAGCACTTTCAGCGCAACTCCAAATTGGCTGAGTCATCGAAGCGACTTAAGTCACAAATCTGGAGTTCCGTGGTGACAATACTGCTGGTCAAGGCCAAAGATCTGCCGCTGGCCGAGGACGGCAGCAAGCTCATTGACATACACTTTAAGTTTAGGTAAGTTCCAGGAGATGATATGTGGACAGTGGAAACCCATTTGGGAATACCTCTTGCAGGCTGGGCAACGAGAAGTACAAGAGCAAAACGTCGTGGACGGAGCGCTGGCTGGAGCAATTCGATTTGCATCTCTTCGACGAGGATCAGAACCTGGAGCTGGCCCTGTGGAACCGGAACACCCTCTACGGCAAGGCCAACATCGATCTGAGTGTCTTTCAGCGCGAGACTACGCATGGCATATGGAAGCCGCTGGAGGATTGCTCTGGCGAAGTCTTTCTCATGCTGACGATCAGTGGAACGACGGCTCTGGAGACGATTAGCGATCTGAAGGCCTTCAAAGAGGATCCGCGTGAGACGCAGCTGATCAGAGATCGCTATAGCTTCTGGCGCAGCCTGCAGAATCTGCGCGATGTCGGGCACCTCACAGTCAAGGTATTTGGCGCCACGGGCCTGGCAGCTGCTGACATAGGCGGCAAATCGGATCCGTTTTGCGTGCTGGAGCTGGGCAATGCGCGACTGCAAACGCAGACGGAGTACAAGACGCTAACGCCCAACTGGAACAAGATCTTTACCTTGTAGGTGGCCAACTGGATTATTCCTTGACGGTTCTCTATCTATTCTCTGTCTTTAGCAACATCAAGGACATCACTCAAGTGCTGGAGATCACAGTTTACGACGAGGATCGCGATCATCGCGTCGAGTTCCTGGGCAAACTTGTGATCCCTCTGCTGCGCATCAAGAGCGGCGTCAAGCGCTGGTATACGCTGAAGGACAAGAATCTCTGTGTGCGTGCCAAGGGCAACTCCCCACAGATACAACTCGAGCTGACTGTTGTCTGGAACGAGGTGCGAGCCGTTTGCCGCGCTCTGCAGCCAAAGGAGGAGAAGCTCATTCAGCAGGAGGCGAAGTTCAAGCGGCAACTCTTCCTGCGCAACGTGAATCGCCTCAAGGCGATCATCATGGATATACTGGAGGCAGCACGCTATGTTCAGTGAGTAGATACGAGTAGATTAGCTGATTGTCTCCCCTCTCTCCTTTTCCTTCTCCTTCTTTAGAAGCTGCTTTGAGTGGGAATCCCCGGTGCGTTCCAGCATTGCCTTTGTGCTCTGGATTGTTGGCTGTGTCTATGGCGATCTGGAGACAGTGCCGCTCGTCCTGCTGCTCATCATATTGAAGTAGGTGGCACACAATGCCCAATGCCTTGGCTAGAGTCCTAACTGTATTGTGTATTGCCTTCACAGGAAGTGGCTCATACGCCTGATAACGGGCACCACAGACGCCAATGCGGGTCACTACGATTACGACTACGATGAGGATGACGACGACGACAAGGAGAAGGAGGAGAAGAAGTCAATTAAGGAGCGCCTTCAGGCCATACAGGAGGTCTCACAGACCGTACAAAATACGATCGGATACTTAGCCTCCCTAGGCGAGAGCACCATCAAGTGAGTCAGGTCTATGAAGTAATTTCTCATTGCTGATATATTTCTGCTTTGCCAGCACATTTAACTTTTCCGTCCCCGAGTTGACCTGGCTGGCGGTGGTGCTGCTGCTGGGCGCCATCCTTGTGCTGCATTTCGTGCCGCTGCGTTGGCTGCTGCTCTTCTGGGGCCTCATGAAGTTCTCCCGGCGCATTCTGCGTCCCAACACGATACCAAACAACGAGCTGCTCGACTTTCTGTCTCGTGTGCCCGACAACGAGGAGATTGTAAGTCGATTGCAGTATAAATCCAAATTAGATAAAGTCTCAACTCTCTTCTCTCTCTCTCTACTCTCTCTGCTTACAGAATCAATATAGGGAGCTGCCGCCATCGGCTGCCACAGATCTGGCACGGAATAATCCCAAAAAGAAATTGAAGGGCTCATAGTCTATAACCAGCGCTGATGCGGTAATTGGGCCGCTGCAGCACAGCGCATCCGGTACACAGCATTTGATGCAGCGCTTCCGCGCCAACACCAGCCAACTGAAGCACAAATTTAGCCAGGCCAAGAGCCTTAGTCTAAGCCAGGGCGATTAGCCGTTTAGTCCATTAGCAAGTATTCCATTGATGGCACAAGAATCCAAGACGCAACTTTAACTAAATGCACCAAACGTTTTTATGCTTAACTTAAGTACTTAAACAACAAACAACATAACAAGTAAGAGCTTCAACAGTCGGCTGGCCTCGACTGTGCCATACTCGTTCACAGTTAAATAGTTTTCGGAGGGTAACCTCATTTGTAATATTCATTTGAAATGTTGTTATCCCATCAGCTATACTTTCCCAGTAGGCATAGCTATATATTCCAGACCATTAACACCGTCTCGATTATATTTGAGCTTATATATACAAAGCTTTAATTACTATTCAGGCCTAACCAGAGAAAACTCTTCTTATATACCGAAGCAGCATTAAAAAACTAATATGCTCTCTTGAACTCCATAACGAGGTATACAAAAGTACCCCACACTTTCTAAACGAGCATATGAAAACCAATATACCTCCCTTTTCACTTTCTGAACAAGAATAATATAGCTAATATATAGCAACAATATACCCCCATAATGAAATAGAGCCAAGCTAATATACCCCATTTATTAGGAATGTGAACGAGTATTAAAATTGAATTCAGGCAGTTTAATCTCTCTTTCTCTCTCTCTCTCTAACTCAGTTCGAAATCGAATCAAACTATTTACACTACTCTAAATATAAATACACTGAGCGAAACGATTTGTTCTGCAGTGTTGTAAATACACCGAAAGCATATTGAAATTTACCTAAATACTATATATGCCCCGCGTATATATAGTACATACATATATAGAACCAGTGCGTGTACCTAAACTTATTTTTAAACATCTATGTGTATTTACCAAAAAGAAGAAGAAGAAGAACAAGTAGAAGATTATAATGATAAAGAAGAAGCAAAAAATCTACCAAAACAAATCGCTAACCGAGCAATTCCTTTGCAATCGTATAAATATTAAATTTAATTATTTATTGTATATTTCAATTTGTGATATTTTTCAAAGAATTGCAACTAGACGTACTATGTGGCTTATCCAAAAACAAAACAAAGATATAAATATATATATATATACATACAGATATCTGAATACCTTTACTTTTGAAGTTACCCTACGATATGTATTTATATATATATACTTTATAGACATACATATATGTATGTATTTCATTGGCCCTTGATTTTATTTAAGGCTTTTTATATGCATAACTAATACATATATACATATATTATATACTATAACTAACTAACCATATGGCTGCAACTACTCAATTAATTATTGTAATTAACTCATCAAACAAGAACTACCTAATTAAATCTATGTGTGTATAGCGCGGATGCCATATGAATTGCAATCCACAAAAAAGAGCAAAAAAAACAAGCAAAAGCAAAAACCAAATCAATTAGATAGTCGAAAACTATTTTATATTCCCGCAACAAGCAACGTTTTTTACATATACAACTCCTAATTAATTAAATTATTAATTAAATAGCACCTAAGTTAAGTTTGTTAATTATTTTTCAAAAATATGACAACCAAATATTATTAAAAAAATACAAAATATTTTTGGATTTCGCTCAAAAACTAAACAGAGTAAAAGCTTTTTCATTTTGATTTACGCGCCTCTCAAACTGTTGGCTGGTTGGGTCGCTCTCAAACTGTGAGCTTTTCGCTTACATTGTTTTGCATTCTCGTTTGTTTTGCTCAAATTTCTGTTTACTTGCAAAAGCTTCAAATTACTTTCAGTTTTATTTATATTTTCTATTAATTAATTAAAAACACATGTTTGGCCACTGGAAGTGCGAAAGCTTTCAACGCGTGCTGGAAACCAATTGTTTGAACATAAATTAAAACCAACTAGAATCCAATTAGATTAAAGTAGTCATATTCCCATATGCTTATCAGACCACAATTCCACTTGAACTTGGCAGCTATTATGCAATCGGGCAAAAATCAAATTAGATAAACATACTTCTGTATATAAATACAACTTTAATGTATATTTTTAGCACATATATATATCAATATAAGAAGGAAGCCTTAAAAGTCGCCAGCACATCGAAAACCCAATTGGGATTTTAACATAATGCGCAATAAATGCAAAACTGGATGTTGGACGGAAGTCCAATAAGAGATGCCGCCCGCGTGGCAATCTGATTAGTTGTTCTCGTTCTTCATGAAGTCATAGACGATGGAGAAGTCCTTGCTGCCCAATCCCTTGGACTTGAGTGTGCGGTAGATCTGATGGGCCAGAGCACCCATTGGAATGGGCGTGTTGGAGGAGGTGGCCACACCCGAAGCCAAGCCCAAATCCTTGGTGATCAGGTCCGTGGAGAAGCCACCCTTGTAGGAGTTGTTGGCCGGGGCAGTGGGAGTTACGCCGGGCACGGGATTGTACAGCTCGGAGGCCCAGCAGCGGCCAGTGGACGAGTTGATAATCTCAGCGAAGGTCTTGGGGTTCAGGCCCAGGCGAATGGCCAAATTCATAGCCTCGGACACACCAATCATGGAAATGGCCAGCATCATGTTGTTGGCCAATTTGGCAGCCTGGCCCATGCCATAGTCACCGCAGTGGGTGATGCGCTTGCCCATGCACTCGAGCACAGACTTGACTGCATTGTACTCCGCCTCAGTGCCGCCCACCATGAAGGTCAACGTGGCTTGCTCGGCGCCGGGAACACCGCCAGAGACGGGAGCATCAATGAAGCGAGCGCCCTTGGCGCTGATGCGCTTCTGCAGGGACTTGACGAGCGTGGGATCGATCGTGGAGGAGTCAATGAAGATGGTGTTCTTGTTGACGCCATTGGCGGTCATCTCCTCGTAAGAGGCATCCACAATGTCGTTGTTGGGCAGCATGGTGAACAAGAAGTCCACATTCTGAGCCAACTCAGCGGTCTTCGAGTAGACGGTGGCGCCCTTGGCCTTGAGGTTATCGCACGCTGGCTTCGAGATATCGAAGACATGGAGCTTGTGGCCGGCCTTGATCAGATTGCTGGCCATGTGGCCGCCCATGTTGCCCAGACCGACAAAGCCGATGTTCTTGGAGCCACCCTGGGTGGACATGCCACGGATCAGGGTCTGGCTCCAGGCATTCAGAACGGACTGTGACACAATGCGTAGCGACATGATAAAGATTGTCTGTGGAAGATTTTATAGTTATGTAATAGTTGTGGCTGTAGTGCCCCCGCCTCCCTTTGCTTTGCAAGAACACACCCACCTGTATTAAGCTCGAGGCGCTCAACAAGAATTAGCTGCTAAAAAAGTTCTACACGATCGGACCACTGCCAAAAGCACACTGAGCACACACTCGCACCAACCGGTCGACGTTGGCTGGTCACGTAATGCGGCTGCTTTCCAGGGTCCAGGCTTGCCAACGTTGCGGCAAATGCGGAGCACAATCGTCTACTCAAGTGGTTTTGGCGTGATGGCAACTCTGCTAGATCAGCTCACTCGCTCTCACTCTCCCGTTTTGTCGTTCTGGCGCTCTGCCGCTCTCCAACTGTAACTCTCCGCATTTCCAGCTTGTTAGCTTTGACTCTCTCGCACTGGAAGTTTATTTTTATTTATTATTCTATTAGCGAGGCACACACGCGCTGGCAACTTATCTAGCGTCTACGCAGACATCGTCTGATGCTTGTGGGCATGGCATAAAGTGGGCGTGTGTGTGTATGTATAGATGCCAAAGCTGCGCAGCCAGCGCTGCTTAAACTGTACGCAGCTTTTATGTCGCTTGGCAGCAGCTGACTTTTTTCCCTTCCTCTAATTCCAATTAGAGTGCTGCTATTTATATATTGCTGTTGTGATTTTGGCTTATCTTGCTGCCCATTCCAGCTAGTTCATTTTATCAATTGAACTTGAACCAATTTGCTTTGTTTATCTTTTTTGCGTTGCTCTCGCTATTATTCCATTCCATTCTGTTATTGTTTTCTCTGCTTTCGTTCAATTGCGGCAAATATCGTGCATAACTGTAAACGCACGCGAAATTTCCAAATCTATTTGTACGCCCCACTCACTTTCGTTGCCAATACGCGCCCTTCATGATTTGCCCAATTGTTGGTTGTTTGCAAAATTTAAGCAAAAATATAGTTATAAATAGAAATACCAAATTTCGCATATCATATTTCATATCTTCGTTGATAACTTTCCCACCAAATGCCGGGATCACTTAACTGTTGTCGATGCTGTTGTTGTTGTTGTTGTTTTGTCAGTCGTTTTGGCATGCATGAAATTGCAACTGGGTCTGCGTTTCGCAAATTTCGACCATTTTCTGTGCTGTGCTTATGCAATGAAAACGTCGCAGTCGCAGTCGCAGCTGACGTCGCTGCCGGCGTCGCTATGCTTTCGTTATAGTGCAGAGAACCTGCTTGCAGCGAGGAGTCTGCCACTGCACCGATCTGGCAATTACTTTGTCATCATTTTACTGATATCTGTGTCAGAGCGTCTGCAGCATCATGTGTAAGCGTATGTGTGGGCAGTTTATCGCGGCCTAAGTGCGTTTCGATTGAGGTGTGTTACGGGCTGGAGCAGACAGACAGCAAATCACATAACGAGGACATCTGCCCAACGTTTCAATAATCATAGAAATCACTTTACATAAGAGCTGAGCACTTGTCAAACAGTTGACAACAGCAACAATAACAACAACAACAACAACAACAGCCACAACACCTTCTTATCTAACACATAAAGTGCAATTCAGCGTATGATTAACATTAACAACACCAACAACAACAGCAGCAGCAGCAGCAGCAGTAACATTAGCAACAACAACATTAAACAACACCAAACAACAACATTCACATTAACATCGACATCAACACAAGCTACAACAACAGAAAATGACCGAGTGAGAGCGCGTTTTTAAACAATTTACACCAAACAAACAGCAACAATTAAAAACAATGTTTGCAACAGCCAAACAGCGACTAGCAAATACTCTATAAATTTGAGGATTAGCGAAAAATGAATTTAACAGTATCTGTTATATATATTCTGTTAGGTTTCCAATCAAAATTTATGAGAGTACAGAAACTAAAAGAAACGTATTATTACTTTCAGTGAGTAATTCCATTATGAAAAAAACTAATAATAATAATAATCGATAGATTTGAAC